GCCTTTTAAATAAAAGTTAAGCAAAAGGTGGTTAAAAATCTTGGCGGCAAAAGGCTTTGATTTGAAATCCCTAACAAGGGCTCTTCAAATTTGGTTCCCGGTTCGTCGATCGATCGATCGATCGGAGGAAAGATTGTGTGCCAGTTACTATATATCGCGATGAGGAGCGCATTGCAATTGATGAGATGCCGGTCCTCCCCGGCGACCAGCGCAAATGCTGGGATCATCGGCGCCACCGCCGTTCCAATTGAGCAGCTTCAATCCTCTCAGCACTGCCGCCGCTGCCGCCGCCTCCAGCCCAGGAGTGGCATCGACTTGTAGAGATTTCAGGAAGCTCTTGCTCAGTCGCCCATATGTAATCACGAGTCTCTCTCCTTTCTCTTCGATCTTTCGCATTTAAATGGGCGATGTCGAATCGATTCAACTCTCTTGGATTTCGATGGCGGTGATGCACAAACAGGGGAGGAAGAGGGCTGATCCCGATAATTAGATACAAGCACGATCCTATCGTTTGTTTTCTTCCGTAGGTTCTCCAGTACACGAGCTAGAACAAACATTTCTTATCAGGTTTTCATTACACCGGTCTAGAGCTTGCTTTCAATATTGTTCGCTCGTCGGTGGAGTTTCATCAGGTTCTCTTATCAGGTGTGACCAGTCTAGAGCTTGCATCAAATCCACTCACAGTTTCATAGTTCACATCAGGAGCAAGTTCATCAAATCATGCAACACTTGCTCACCGATTGGGTGTGTTTTCATGCTCATTGATTGATATGATTTTGTAATTAATTTTTTTTAATAGTGCTCTTTGCTCTTGCTGGAGCTGGCAAAGCTGGAGAATCAGTGGAAACGGACCCATAGTGCTTCGATCATGACTATGGTGCTTATTTTGCTAGCCATACATGCCACACTTGCGTTACATGGATCAAGAGGGAAATGAGCCAAGCGATCTACTCTTACTTGCGTGTAAGAGGCCTTTGCGTTCCAGGCTCTCAACGCAATCGTCGAACATTTGCTCCAGCGACTTGAATTGGATCCCAAGGTCGTTCTGAAGCTTTCTGGAGCTGAATCCCTTGAAATTTGCCGGCCACCGGACCTCGATCCTGCAAGAAAGCAAAGGAATGAGTACTAAATTTTTGTTTGCGTGATCTTACTCGTCGGTAGAGGCGATTTTGTGCTTGGGATACCTCTTGGACATGAAGCTGGCGAGCTCGATCGCACTCATGTTGATAGCAGAGCAAACGTATCTTCCACTGGCTTTGGGATTTGTGTAGGCGAGGAGGTGAGCTTCAGCAACGTCGTCGAGATGGACGTATCCAGCGTGATCTATCCACTGCTTGGCTCCTGCAGTGAGGTTGGAATCTCAAAAACGTCCTTCTTCTGTTCTTCCGATATAGAAAGGCTTGCCTTGGAGCAGCCGGAGAATATCGGCAGCGCTTGCGGTGGCCCTGGACGAGAGAAGTTCTCCAACGATTAAGCTGGGAGCGATTGTGATCACATCTATGCCGCTTTCTTTCCCAAACTCGAGTACTGCTTGCTCGGATAGAGTCTTTCCCAGACCATACCACATCTAGACTTCAAAAGCTTTTTAAGAATTGGTCCTTTGGAAATAAGACACTTGCCTGAGTCTCACGGCAGCAGTCTGCGGAGCTCCACACCGATTCGTCCAAGACGTCATCGGGCTTGAAGTCGTTCCTCACGCGGACAGCAGTCACGGATGACGTGCACACCACTCGCTTGACTGTCGTAGATCTCTTGCAGGCATCGAGCACGTTTAGAGTTCCAAGCAAGCATGGATCAACAATCTCGGTCTGGAAGAAGAACCGTAAACAAAAACAACCAGTAAAAGTTTGTGATACAAGACTAGACCGAATCGAAGGAGTCAAGCAAAGTTACCTGTGGATCGTCCTTGTAGCTGAGAGTCACGGCAGCCGCGACATGGAAAACTCCATGGCAGCCTTGAACAATATCGTCAAAGGCCCCTTGCGTGACAAGGTCGGCCTTCTTGAGCTCCAGCCTCTCTCTCGCCCCTGGAAGCTCGCACAGGTGCGAAGTCTTGCTCGCATCGTCTAGTATCAGAAACAAGAGAATTAAACTATGTTTCTTCTCGTTTGTATGTACCTGGATCGCGCACAGTCCCGATGACGTGATATCCCTCCTCCAATAGCCGCTTCACGGGCCAAGATGCCAGGAAACCAGAAGCGCCGGTGACACACACCTTCTTCTCGTTCGCCATCGCCATGGAATGACCCTAAACTGGGCCTTGGCTCTCACTCACACAAGAATGATCAGTAACCAGGAATTTTACTTTCAAACCTTCAATGCTGGACAATGTACTTGAGCGATGATCTTCCAGAGATTCCTGTGATAGAAAAAGCTTCCTAGAGCTTGAGAAACACGAACTCCTCCACCGCCGGGATGGCCCCGATCCTGTGCAGCACTTCCTTGCTCGGCTCCTCATCCACGCCAATCGCCATCACCGCCTGCTTCCTGGCGAAGTCTTCCCCACGCTCATGAAGCTCACGTTCACGTTCCCGTCGCCCAGCAACTTTCCCGGTGATCCCCGGCTGATCCACCTGTTTGCACAGGATGACCGATCCCTCCAGGCTCACGTCCATGCTAAACTGCCCCACCTGCGAGAGGTGTGGAAGCCCGTTCTTGATCCTGCCCGCCACCGCCACCGCCACCCTTCCACCGTCGGAGACTGCGGTCGAGAACTTGGACTCGACGTTGGAGATCTTCACCGCGATGCTCTCCAGCGGCTGGGCCTGCGTGCCCGTCCCCTCGGCCGGGTGCCTCTCCTCGCTGATCCGGATGCCACGCTGCTTTGCGACGTAGTCCGCGTTCACGAGGTTGATGAAGGCGTCCGACACTGGCTCCACCAGGCCCTTGACGATCATCGCGCGGAGGAGCCGGGTGTCTAGATCGTCCGGGGACCGGGCGGACGTGTAGCTGATGGTTACGTCCTTGACTCCGTCCCCGCCGGCTACCAGCTGCTAGCTTTCCCAGCTTCTCGGCCAGTGAGCTCGGTTAAAACCTGGAGTTGCGAGCATTGAGTGTCGAGCAAAGCAGTAAAGAGATTAGCATACCTTGGAGGAAACCATTGGAGCGTTCACCGCAGTAGCGGAAAGCTCTCCACGCAACGCGCCAACGACAGCTTCAGCAATCTCTACGGCCACGCCTTCCTACAAACTCCATTTTGATTAGTTGATGATAAGGTGAGCCATGGAAGTTGGGATGCTGCTAACCTGCGCTTCTACCGTGCTCGCACCTAGATGAGGAGTAACTATCACATTCTCGTGCTGGACCACCTTGTTGTCCTTTGCAGGCGGTTCTTGCTCGAACACATCGTGAGCAGCCTAACAAAAAACACACCAACGTGTCAGATCTCTCTCTCTTGAACAAATAAGTAAAAGATCTACCTGAGCCACAGTGCCATTGTCAAGTGCCTTGATCAACGCAGCTTCGTCAATGACACCGCCCCTCGCGACGTTGATGATGCGAACTCCCTTCTTTACCTTCGCAAAAGTTTCATCGTTGAAAATGCCCCGGGTATCATCCGTGAGCGGCATGTGGAGCGAGATATAGTCGGCTCGAGCCAGTGCCTCATCGAAGCCAACGATCTCCACTCCAATCGCGCGGGCCCTGTCGGCGGGAGCATACGGATCGTGCGCAATCACGTGCATGCCCAGGCCTTTGGCTCTTCGAGCAACTTCCGATCCCACTTTCCCAAATCCCATGACGGCAATGGTTTTGTCTACTAGAGAAACGCCCGTGTACTTGCTTCTCTGCCACTTCCCTGGAGAAACAGAAAAAATAAAGAAACGACTCTCGTGTTAGTTCTGCTTAGACCAAGAGAGTAGAACTTAGTAAACAATGGAGAAAGGTCAGCAAGACAAGACCAAACAAAGCTAATGATTTCGAACAATGGAGCAAAATCACCAAGACAAAATCAAGCAAAGTTAGTGATTTTAACCATGGAGCAAAGTCAGCAAGACAAGATCAAACAAAGCTAATGATTCCAAACAATGAAACAAAGTCAGCAAGACATTATCAAACAAAGTAACGATTTTAAAAGCACTCGTGCGCAAGAACAAAGTTGGAGCATCCAGCAAAACACAAACACAATCAAACACGACAAAGAAAAGAAAAGAAATGCCACACAAAGATCTTACCTGACTTGACAGAAGCGTTTGCTTGCGCGACGTTCCTGGCCAATGCAGCAAGGAGAGCGATGGCGTGCTCGGCCGCTGCCACAGTGTTTGCCGTGGGAGCATTCACTACCAGGCAGCTCTTATCGGTGGCGGCTTGCAAGTTGACGTTGTCGATCCCAAAGCCAGCCCTCCCCACAACCTTTAGTCTTCCATTGGCCGCCTTAAACACCTCGTTTGTGACCTTGGTAGCGCTCCTCACGATCACCGCGTCACACAGGGAAATCTTGGCCTGGAGCTCCTCGGGGGAGAGATTGTAGGAGCAGTCGACGTTGGCTACCTTGCGGAGGAGATCCAGGCCGACCTCTCCCAGCTTCTCAGCGACGAGCACGGTCGGCCTGGGCGTCACGTCTTTCACTGCACTACTCGGACGAGCGAGGGCGTGATTATGGAATCCACTCGGCCGGAGCTTGGCGGTTCGTTTCAGTATTTCTATCGTGTTTTAGGAAGTGGTGAGCCAATTAAGCTAGTGCTTGGAAAGAGCAAGATGATTCGAAGGCTGGGAAGAAGGACTACTAACTGTCCCCAAAGGTGAAATTGTGATGGTGGGGAAATTCAGTAGCATCTCTTTGTTTCTCATTCATACTCGATGATGCTTTCCCAGCTTAAAATCTTACCTGAGTTTCACTATGGAGATCCCGACCGTCCGGTTAGTGCGCGAGAAGACTTTCCGAAACACGAAATTCTAATTTTTGAGATCGACATGCTTGAGATCCGACCTGTGAAGGTCAGTAGGCTTTGCTCTTTTCTTTCTTGACTCGAGTTGTTTTCAGGTGATCACAGATGACTTTGGGGGTACTCAAGCAGGTTCATATATACTCGGTTTGCAAGCTCCAAAGTTAACTCAACCTGTAGGTTCTCCGTGAGGGCGAGGGATTCGAGACTGCACGGGAGCCATACGAGATAAAAGTTTGGTGTGTACTGTCCCTTCATCTTTTGGTGTGCTAACAAAAACGCCTTACTCTAGGATAACCGGAAGTGTAAACGGAGAAGTGTTCTTCAATCACACCAAGGGCAATCCATTCGAATTTTGCTTTGGCAAAAAAGAGGTATAATATCTCTATCTTTGCGCGTCAAACTCGAGTACAATGTTTGCCTTGGCCTTGAGAAAGGCATAGGAACAAGGACAAAATGGGAGAAGGCTATTGTATACGTTACCACAGAGTATCTTACTCCATCGTCCGCCATTCCCGATCTACCTGTTACTTCCGGTGAAGTGGCATTTGAAGTAGAAGTAGTTCAAATAATACAGGTATGATGTTTTCTATTTCCTGATGGTTAAAGCGCGTATTTTTAAGGTGCGAGACATGTTTGGCGATGGCTGCGTAGTGAAGCGGCGCATCCGTGATGGAGTAGCCATGGACTGCCCACTTCAAGACAGTACATTACGTATACACTACAAGGGAGTGCTACCAAGCGAAGGTGGCAAGGTGTTTGTTGATACCCGAAATGACAACGAAGGCGGAGAGCCATTGGTTTTTGCTACAGGAGAAGGACTGGTATGCTTCGAATATATCGCATTGGAAGCTGAAAATGTTGTTTATGACAGGTTCCTGAAGGTTTGGAAATTTGCATTAAACTTATGCTACCCGGAGAGCTTGCTCTTATAACTTGTTCTCCTGAATAAGGTGAGAAAACCCGTTTGCTATGGTATTTAACCATCTTTTGGCAGGCCAAAACTTGTTCCAGAGAATGCCCAAAGGTGGAGCTTTTAAGCTTTGACACTGTGAAGGTAAACTTTTATTCTATGTGCTTTTGTTCTCGGTATGATTTTGGACCGGCAGGATTGGACTGGGTACAATTTCAAGGAGATAATGGATGATGCCACTAAAATGAGAACTACCGTATTGTGTAATTCGAGTAGTATTTTATCATCTAATCTTCAGTTTACAGGGCAATCGGTTAAAGGCGAAAGCTAAATACGAAAAGGTAATCTTCCTATCTTTTATTCTGAATATCCCAAAGCCCTTCTACACAGATTAGAGTTTAAACACGTGAAAATAAGGCGGGATACACTCCAGACACCACTCTCATGCTTCACGACGTGGGGGACGAGCAAAAGAAGCGCTTGCTCTCATATCACAGCGAGAAGATGGCGATTGCATTTGGGTTGATCAGCACAGCCCCAGGAACTTCGCTGAGGATCATCAAGAACTTGCGCGTGTGTGGGGACTGTCACACTGCCACCAAGTTTATCTCCAAGATCACGGAAAGAGAGATTGTCGTGAGAGACAGCCATCGCTTCCATCACTTTGACAATGGGGGAGACTATTGATAATTCAGGTAAGTTTTAATCTAATTTATTTTTAAAATAAGGAACAAAGCAAAAAGGTGGTTAAAAAGGGAGCTTAGTTTTATATAAATCCATGAAGGTCTATCAGAAGGAAAAACAATGAGTTCTCACTCAAGTTCTTCGATCGATCATCCATCCCCAAATTCCTTGAAGCCAACTTGGTCTAACAAGAGGAAGCGTTCTCCACGTCCCCGTTCTTCGAAGAACCTAACTCGGTCGACCAAGAGGACGTGTTCTCCACACAAGAGGGTCCCTCTGGACCCTCCAGCCTTGTGCTCTCTCATGGATCTGGAAGGATCCGAGATGGATCAAGCAAGTTTCTTTGAACTTAGAGAACCCAGAGAGGTGGACAACGAACTCGTGATGAAGCAAGAACCACTTGAAGAGTTAAGATTGGATCAAGTTTCTTGCTCTGAGGTCGACTGGGGGGAACTTCTCAAAGATCTCTAGTTTGATGAAAATTGGTCATCAAGAGATGTTTTGTAAAAATAAAACATTTTTAATAATTTAATTTGAGCCAAGTTGACATCCCTGGGCCAGTTGAAAGTAACTGTCGTCCGGCACTGCTGCTGCTGCTTTCGATCGATTTCTTCTCGATCTACAGCACCATTGAAAGCACTCGAAACAACCCAAGCATCCACCAACACGAGCCGGGATTTCCAAGAGCTCTGGAAAGCCTATCAAATTTTCCTGAACCGGCTCTCGAGATCACTCGCAAAAGATGGCAACGATGGACTTCCCTGGTGGTATAACATCAACCCGCACTTTCCATGGCCCTCCTTTCCATTTCTGCGGCCTCCAATGCTACCACCACCGCCACCGCCACCTTTGTGCCCACCACCACCGCCGCCAGTAAACTTCACCTCCAGCGATGTCGATCGAATCAACCTTGCTCTCAACGTTCACTATCTCCAAGCCGAGTTCTTCCTCCATGCAGCGTTTGGACACGGGCTTGACAAAGTTAATGCAAAGCTTGCCGAGAAGGGGCCACCGCCTATTGGAGGCCGCAAAGCTCAACTCTCTATACAAATGGAGCATGTTGCCAAAGAACTTAGGCTCCAATCTACAGGTCATATCAGGTAGTTAACATTTCTTCCTCTCAAGTTTTTTTTTCTAAAGTTGTTTTCACACAGGGCAATCCATGATAAGCTGTCGGCCCCTGCTAAACATCAATGCTGGAGTGTGGAATTCCCTCATCAGCAAGGCTCTCGTTCACAATCACACAGAAGTTGATGGTGGTTCTTTGCAGTTTGATCCGTACGAAAACGACGCAAACTTTCTCATTGCTGCATATGTGATTCCGTACATTGGCCTTAACACGCTCGTAGGTTCGAGCAATCGAGTGACTGGCATTCAAGCACGAAATGTAACAAAGAATTACAAGATTTAATGAAGATTTTCAAGAGATTCTTTGTTTCTAGTTGTCCGGATTGATGGGAATCCAAGCCGGCCAGGACGCAGTGATCCGGACACTGCTCTTCGAGATCATGGAAAACAAGTTACCTCCGTACAACGTCACAGTCAAAGTTGACAGGCCTCGTCTCGGATCTCCGTCGCAAGCTTGATCACACAAGAAAGGCCGACAAGGACTTGAGTGTGCATCAAAACCGTGGAGCCGAGAAGCAAGTAAACGGGAATCTGATCTCCACGAATGACTACTCCATGGCCATCTCGAGACCAAGTTCTCCAAGTTTTGTACGGAACAGGGAGACGCTTCCGTACCGGGATTGTTCTTCCCCAAGGGGGCTAACGCTGACATCTTTCTCAAACCCAGGGGCCCAAACTTTAGTGTGAATGACTTTTTGCCTTTCCAGAAGTTCTAGCAAATGAGATTCAAAACTTAGGATCAGCTGAGGAAACCTTCTTGTAAAAACAAACGGTGTCTCCTTCCTTGAGCGAGTGCTCCCTCACGTAATGAATCCAGTGTGTTGTGATCAGGCTCCCGGTTTTCCCCTTCTTGCACCGGAGCTCCCAAACTCCGCCCTCTTCGTCCACAAATTCCACGAGAACCTTTTGATCATTCGGGAGAATTGACTCGTACTTGACCGGGATGAGCAATCTGTGCAGGCTATTCACGTCGCTGGCGGTCAGCTTCTTGTCAAAAAGTAGAGCCCAACGAGATGGATCGCAGGTGACGAGAGGATCCTCGCGTTTCCGGGGTCTCCACTTGTGACACTTCGTTTTCTTGGTGTCTCCCGCCGGCTGAATCGCGCCATCTTCACCCGAGGACGAGGAATCTTTCACCTCATCGGTCCTTGAACCGTAATCTCGATCGCCCATCTTAAGTTTCTTTACCTTTTGTCCCAGTTGTTGACATTCGTCCATGACCACCACCTTTCTTCGTTTCTTCTCATGTAGCTGCCCAGCTTCCTGGTTAATCACTCGTCTTTTGCTGTTGGAATCGGGCTCGCTGGTGCTCATATCCGCCGTGAACCAAAGTAGAGCCCTCCAGAGCATGGATTTCCGTGGAGACCGCTTCCTTCTCAGGACAAACTTCGAAAAACTTGGCTGCAAGGCTGCAGCGTCCGCAAGAACCAACAGTCCAGAAAAATCTTTGCTTGTCATCTCACCACTAGTGAAAAAACCCTTTGCTTTAATCCAAACCTATACACTATTCACTGCCTTTTAAATAAAAGTTAAGCAAAAGGGGGTTAAAAATCTTGGCGACGCCTACGTGGCAAAAGGCTTTGATTTGAAATCCCTAACAATCTCCCGGGCTCTTCAAATTTTCGTCGATCGATCGATCGATCGGAGGAAAGATTGTGTGCCAGTTACTATATATCGCGATGAGGAGCGCATTGGGTCTTTCGGGCCAATTGATGAGATGCCGGTCCTCCCCGGCGACCAGCGCAAATGGTGTGGTCATCGGCGCCACCGAGCAGCTTCAATCCTCTCAGCACTCCCGCCGCTGCCGCCGCCGCCGCCTGGAGTGGCATCGACTTGTAGAGATTTCAGGAAGCTCTTGCTCAGTCGCCCATATGTAAACACGAGTCTCCCTCCTTTCTCTTCGATCTTTCGCATTTAAATGGGCGATGTCGAATCGATTGGATTTCAATGGGGGTGATTCACAAACAGGGGAGGAAGAGGGCTGATCCCGATAATTCGATACAAGCACGATCCTATCGTTTTTTTTCTTCCGTAGGTTCTCCAGTACACGAGCTAGAACAAACATTTTTCCAGGCAACTTAACCCAGCCCCCACCGCATGCAAAATTGTTATGTGGATATAGATGATGTAAAGATTCAGTGATTTGAATTTTATAAAATTTGAGATTCAATAACTATTTGATTCAATCTACCAAACTCTAGCTAACCATGGCCCTTGAGATGCCAGGGCCTCCACTGATCTGGAGTTTGCTCTCATCTTGTTCTCTTGTCAGGTTTGCATTACATCAGTCTGGAGCTTACTTTCATCTCATTCTCTTATCAGGTTTTCATTACACTGGTCAAGAGATTGCTTTAATATTGTTCGCTCGTCGGTGGAATTTCATCAGGCTCTCTTATCAGGTGTGACCAGTCTAGAGCTTGCATCAAATCCACTCACAGTTTCATAGTTCACATCAGGAGCAAGTTCATCAAATCATGCAACAATTGCTCACCGATTGGGTGTGTTTTCATGCTCAATGAGTGATATGGTTTTGTAATTATTTTTTTTTAATAGCGCTCTTTGCTCCTGCTGGAGCTGGCAAAGCTGGAGAATCAGTGGAGATGGACCTATAGTGTTTCGATCATGACTATGGTGCTTATTTTGCTAGCCATACATGCCACACTTGCGTTACATGGATCAAGAGGGAAATGAGCCAAGCGATCTACTCTTACTTGCGTGTAAGAGGCCTTTGCGTTCCAGGCTCTCAACGCAATCGTCGAACATTTGCTACAGCGACTTGAATTGGATCCCAAGGTCGTCCTGAAGCTTTCTGGAGCTGAATCCCTTGAAATTTGCCGGCCACCGGACCTCGATCCTGCAAGAAAGCAAAGGAATGAGTATAAAACAGCGGCAGAAAACTAAATTTTTGTTTGCGTGATCTTACTCGTCGGTAGAGGCGATTTTGTGCTTGGGATACCTCTTGGACATGAAGCTGGCGAGCTCGATCGCACTCATGTTGATAGCAGAGCAAACGTATCTTCCACTGGCTTTGGGATTTGTGTAGGCGAGGAGGTGAGCTTCAGCAACGTCGTCGAGATGGACGTATCCAGCGTGATCTATCCACTGCTTGGCTCCTGCAGTGAGGTTGGAATCTCAAAAACGTCCTTCTTCTGTTCTTCCGATATAGAAAGGCTTGCCTTGGAGCAGCCGGAGAATATCGGCAGCGCTTGCGGTGGCCCTGGACGAGAGAAGTTCTCTGGGAGCGATTGTGATCACATCTATGCCGCTTTCTTTCCCAAACTCGAGTGCTGCTTGCTCGGATAGAGTCTTTCCCAGACCATACCACATCTAGACTTCAAAAGCTTTTTAAGAATTGGTCCTTTGGAAATAAGACACTTGCCTGAGTCTCACGGCAGCAGTCTGGGGAGCTCCACACCGATTCGTCCAAGACGTCATCGGGCTTGAAGTCGTTCCTCACGCGGACAGCAGTCACGGATGACGTGCACACCACTCGCTTGACTGTCGTAGATCTCTTGCAGGCATCGAGCACGTTTAGAGTTCCAAGTAAGCATGGATCAACAATCTCGGTCTGGAAGAAGAACCGTAAACAAAAACAACCAGTAAAAGTTTGTGATACAAGACTAGACCGAATCGAAGGAGTCAAGCAAAGTTACCTGTGGATCGTCCTTGTAGCTGAGAGTCACGTCCTTCTCAGCGACGAGCACGGTCGGCCTGGGCGTCACGTCTTTCACTGCACTACTCGGACGAGCGAGGGCGTGATTATGGAATCCACTCGGCCGGAGCTTGGCGGTTCGTTTCAGTATTTCTATCGTGTTTTAGGAAGTGGTGAGCCAATTAAGCTGGTGCTTGGAAAGAGCAAGATGATTCGAAGGCTGGGAAGAAGGACTACTAACTGTCCCCAAAGGTGAAATTGTGATGGTGGGGAAATTCAGTAGCATCTCTTTGTTTCTCATTCATACTCGATGATGGTTTCCCAGCTTAAAATCTTACCTGAGTTTCACTATGGAGATCCCGACCGTCCGGTTAGTGCGCGAGAAGACTTCCCGAAACATTCTAATTTTTGAGATCGACATGCTTGAGATCCGACCTGTGAAGGTCAGTACTAAAAGGCTTTGCTCTTTTCTTTCTTGACTCGAGCTTTTGGTCGTTGTTTTCAGGTGATCACAGATGACTTTGGGGTACTCAAGCAGGTTCGTATATACTCGGTTTGCAAGCTCCAAAGTTAACTCAACCTGTAGGTTCTCCGTGAGAGCGAGGGATTCGAGACTGCACGGGAGCCATACGAGATAAAAGTTTGGTGTGTACTGTCCCTTCATCTTTTGGTGTGCTAACAAAAACGCCTTACTCTAGGATAACCGGAAGTGTAAACGGAGAAGTGTTCTTCAATCACACCAAGGGCAATCCATTCGAATTTTGCTTTGGCAAAAAAGAGGTATAATATCTCTATCTTTGCGCGTCAAACTCGAGTACAATGTTTGCCTTGGCCTTGAGAAAGGCATAGGAACAAGGACAAAATGGGAGAAGGCTATTGTATACGTTACCACAGAGTATCTTACTCCATCGTCCGCCATTCCCGATCTACCTGTTACTTCCGGTGAAGTGGCATTTGAAGTAGAAGTAGTTCAAATAATACAGGTATGATGTTTTCTATTTCCTGATGGTTAAAGCGCGTATTTTTAAGGTGCGAGACATGTTTGGCGATGGCTGCGTAGTGAAGCGGCGCATCCGTGATGGAGTAGCCATGGACTGCCCACTTCAAGACAGTACATTACGTATACACTACAAGGGAGTGCTACCAAGCGAAGGTGGCAAGGTGTTTGTTGATACCCGAAATGACAACGAAGGCGGAGAGCCATTGGTTTTTGCTACAGGAGAAGGACTGGTATGCTTCGAATATATCGCATTGGAAGCTGAAAATGTTGTTTATGACAGGTTCCTGAAGGTTTGGAAATTTGCATTAAACTTATGCTACCCGGAGAGCTTGCTCTTATAACTTGTTCTCCTGAATAAGGTGAGAAAACCCGTTTGCTATGGTATTTAACCATCTTTTGGCAGGCCAAAACTTGTTCCAGAGAATGCCCAAAGGTGGAGCTTTTAAGCTTTGACACTGTGAAGGTAAACTTTTATTCTATGTGCTTTTGTTCTCGGTATGATTTTGGACCGGCAGGATTGGACTGGGTACAATTTCAAGGAGATAATGGATGATGCCACTAAAATGAGAACTACCGTATTGTGTAATTCGAGTAGTATTTTATCATCTAATCTTCAGTTTACAGGGCAATCGGTTATTTAAAGAAGGGTTGGCGAAAGCTAAATACGAAAAGGTAATCTTCCTATCTTTTATTCTGAATATCCCAAAGCTGTTCTGATTAACCAGGTACGCACAATTAATTCTGTTCTTTCTCTAACTTTGGATATGAATATGCAGATGCTAGAAGTAAATCCTTGTCACTCGAAAGAACTGTACCGCCGAGGGAATGCTTTTATGGGAATGGGGGATTTTGACGACGCAAGGAAGGATTTCGAAAAGGCAAAAGTATGTAATAGTTAGAGGCATGTGTTCTTACAAATATCTTGCAGATGGCCAGTACAGACAAGTCGTCGTAAGTGCACGCAAAAGCTGCTCTATCCACACTGAAAAGGAAAGAGCAGGTTGGTAGTTAGCAATTGACCTTCATAATTCTGCTCATAATATTTCTGTGGCACAGGAAGCAAATGCTAGAGTTCGGAAGCAGTTTCAAGGGCTCCTTGACAAGAAGCCAGGTGAACTATCTAAAGAGACGCTCGAGCCAAGAGAGGTAGCTGAGAACAGTGCGCGATCCGAAGAGCAGCAGCCTGAGGAAATTGTTAATCCACCTTCCTCTTTGAGGCAACGAATGAAAACTATTTGGAACGCTGGGAGGAGTTTATGGAGAGGCCAAAAATGCGTGTCATTTTGTGAGCGGTACGTTGGCGCTGTTCTGACGTTGGTTGTATAATACTGGTTCTTTTTTGTAGGTGGAATCACGGGCTTGTAGGAATACAATACATACAACACATGGCATGGTATGGTGTTTTAGAGACGGAGCTTAGTACGTCGTTTCTGCGGTTTCCGAATGGTTGCTTGGTTGTCATGTTTCTTTAGTTTCTTTGAAATCTTGTTTCCTGTGACGTGTGGCATCCATGATAGTGCTAGTCTTGACTTTGTAGCTGACAGTCTTCCGTTGAGTGTCGAGGACTTCCGGGTCAAGCGTTTGTGTGAGAAAAGGCAGGAAAAAGAAAGGATGAAAACAATTAAAAGACTTCCGTTTGATTGTAGCGTGGGGCTAATGGCTGTGTCTTGAATGCAGGATATCTTTGTTCAACTATACGAGCCGTGGCACGGCCCAAAAGGACCTGCTTAATAAAACAAGAGTCTGACAGTGATGTCTGGACGGTGAAGGACCCAGTAGGCTCTGTGGTATCACCCAACTCCAATTTAAACGGCGCCAGTTGCTGCGGAGGAAGGGAAGGATGGAAGAGCGCTCCCGTCTTGCTCGTGAGCCATCCGAGTCCTCAGAACATGGAAGGAAGGGTCTGTTCGATTCAGCTAGAAATCTGGAAGGAAGACTTTCAGGAGGTAATTCTTCAGCACCAGGAGCACCAGCAGCACCAGCAGCAGAAGCCGAGACAGTTCCTGGCAGAAGAAAGAAGAACTACAACAAGTATGTTGTGTTTTGCACATTGCTGGCTTCTCTCAACTCTATACTGCTTGGATATGGTACGTTCTTCTTCTTCCTTTGGATATGTGTTGGATCTCATTACTTTCCGTGCAGATATTGGTGTTACGAGTGGTGCCTTGCTGTACATTAAAGATGACTTCAAGCTCAACAGCGTACAGCAGGAAATGCTGGTTGGTATTCTCAACCTGGTGTCTCTCGTGGGTGGGCTCATGGCTGGGAAGCTGGCCGATGCGGTTGGAAGAAGGAAGACAATGGCTACAGCCTCTGTGATCTTCTTCGTTGGTGCCTTGCTCATGGCATTATCTCCATCGTACGCAGTGCTCATGGGGGCACGAGTTCTATCGGGAGTTGGGGTCGGCTTTGCTATGATCATCGCTCCAGTGTACACGGCAGAACTGTCTCCTCCCGGAAGCAGGGGATCCTTGGTGTCGTTTGCCGAAGTTTTTATCAACACTGGGATCCTGGTTGGCTATGTAGCGAACTTTGCACTCTCTCCGCTTCCCCAGTGGCTGGGATGGAGGCTGATGCTGGGACTCGGCGCCGTCCCTGCGGTGTTCCTGGCTTGCGCCGTGCTGGTGATGCCCGAGTCTCCTCGCTGGCTGGTGATGCAAGGCAGAGTCTCTCAAGCCAAGACCGTTCTCATCAGAACTTGCGGCGGGAACAAGGGCGAGGCGGAGTCGAGGCTCACGGCGATAGTAGAGTCACTGGGGGACGAGTACGAGGCAGAGAAACAAGAGGTCCGGGACGAGCACACCTCAAAGATGGACCCGGAAGCCGATCATCCGGCTGAGCTGCGAAAGCTCCCGTCGGTGGCTTCGTCGACCACCGAGCAGAGGAAGCGGATGCTCAAAGCAAAGAAAAAAGCAGGTAGCAACGTCTGGAAGCAGCTACTGCTACCATCGGCTCCGGTGCGCAGGATGCTACTGGTGTCACTGGGAATTCATTTCTTCCAGCAGGCATCCGGCGTGGACGCTCTCGTGTACTACAGCCCCACGGTGTTCGCACAGGCGGGGATGAAGAGCAGGACGAGCGTGCTGGGCATGACCATCGCGGTCGGCCTGACGAAAACTCTCTTCATCCTGGTGGCCACCATCTATCTCGACACCGTGGGACGCAGGACGCTGCTCCTGGCCAGTGCCACCGGGATGACCATCGCGCTCACCACGGTAGCGGTGACGTTCCGCTTCCTTCACGTCGGTGCCAAGGTGGACATGAGCAGCTCACAGCACGCGTCAGTGGCGTTGGTGGTCATCGCCATGCTCGCCATCTGCGGCTTCATGGCGAGCTTCTCCATTGGATTGGGGCCGACGGTGTACGTGCTCACGTCGGAGATCTTCCCGCTCACTCTCAGGGCACGGGCGATGAGCCTGTCCATCGGGATGAACAGGGGGATCAGCGGGACCGTGGCGCTCACTTACTTGAGCCTGGCCGAAGCGCTCACCACGTCCGGGGCCTTCTTCGTCTACGCCTCCATCGCGTTTGCGTCCATCGTTTTTGTATTCTTCGTGGTGCCCGAGACCAAAGGCAAGTCGCTGGAGGAGGTTTGTAAGTATTTCGGGTGGCAGCCGGACGAGGGAGGTGGCGGCCAAGAGCTCAGAGAGGTTTAAACGTGGAAGTTGGATTCTTAAAGCATGCACGTCAATGATCGTTCGTATTGTCCAGTGTTTCTCTTCGCGTTGAGAGTTCCTTGGCCCGTTGTTTTGCACTTTGCTTTTTTGAGTTGTTAATTCTTGATCGCCGCTAGCCTTTCTTTTATCTTTGATCATACCTCAGCTCGTTGCAAGCAGCTTCGCTTTCTTTACTCGCTTGTTGCTCACGCAAAGAAAAGCCCTACCTAAACGAACTTACCGTGTGAAGTGGCCTACCTGGGCAGCAAAGCTAAAAAAGGGGAAACGAAGCAACTTAATTAGTTGTCGCTAGTAGCGGGAGGGGATGAGGAATCCTGCTGATCGGACAGCCTGCTGGATGGCTTGTGGACGGACTTGTGCTGTACTTTTGGTGGTCCTAAGCGAATTGAAGGAGCAATGTTTTTCACAATATCCACCTTGGGGAAAAAGAGCCGTGATTATGAATTTGATGCTTCTAGCATTATGTTCATGAGATTTGATCCTTCGTATCGATCAAACATTTCTTTGGCTTCATCTCGTGCTGTGCTGCAATTTCAACCACGCCACCATGTCTACATCTCCAATCTGCATGAAGCTCGCCAGCAAAATGCATTTTTTGTCCACAGCTGAGCTGGAATTAAACAATTCGCAAGCTACCATGCCCGTGAGAGATCTATAGCATTAGCTTCCTACTTCAGTTAGATCGTCTGGCAGTCCAGATCTCTTTCGGTGTCTTTCCTTCCATCATCCGATCTAGAGTCGACTGGTCAAGTCCACCTCAAGGCTTTCAGCTGCCGACGTGAGCTCACACAACGTTTTGGTGTCTAGCGGGACGAACTTCTCATCGAAAAACTTCCTCTCCTGCAAAAGAAAAAGGAAGATCTCAAGTCACCAAACCATGAATTCCAACCAGCTATGTGACCTTATTGGACCGGGAAGTGGCAGTACGTACTCGAGTAGCAACTGGGATTAACTTGACTTGTCCATGAGACAGCAACCATTGAGCAAGACCTCGCGGTGGATGAGAGGTATTCCACCTGGTTTCGCCGGGGCCCGTGAAGAAAAACTTTGGCGCAAACGATGCCCAATGCGGGCATATGCAATCACCATCGCAGTCCAGGTCACCACGTCCCTCTCCTGCAGAGAATCAAAGGTGTTTCCATCCTCAGCAACGCGATTGTCATCGCAAAAGGCCTGTAACAGGATTTTCCAGGAGAAGACATTGGGATCCTGAATCGTGTGAAAGGCCTTCAATATGCCCAAACCAGGCATATAGTGATAGCAAGAAGAATGTGAATTGCCGGTGCCTAGCTCGTCGATCCGGCACGCTTCCCTGTGCACGAGACTTGCGCTGCTCCTTTCGCAGTTGCTCATCAACTATTTGCCAGACTCCAGAGCCAAACAGGGCTTGGACGATAAGGGCTTTTGATACCCAGTGGCGTGCCAGGCTCTGGGCAGCAAGCTCTACCTTCTTGGGGGATGGAGCTGCAGGAAATAGCGTCTTTGTTCACACACGAATCGATGGCATTGCCACTCCATCACCATCGCCAGATGGAGACCATAGCCTTCATCGCCCTCCCAAAGCTGTGATGTCGATTCATATAGTGGTGCCGTGGGAGCGCAATGTAGTTTTGCACATTGATATACTTGCGGGGGAGTGGAACCACGACATTTGTAAAATCAGCTTCTAAAATCAGCTCTGTTTTTTAACTTCGTATTCCTTTCACTCAAATGTTCTCTGATTCAGTAAGAGTTAGGCTGAGATCATGGTGTTCCAGAGAATCACGTCCCCTTCTTCGGGACAGCTTCTCAAAGGAGGTATGCGGGTGTGTACTCCCTTCTTCCACATTGTTTTCCTTGAGAGCTTTGTTCTCGTCTCTAGAGCTCAAAAAGCAAGGTTTTTCATCTCCAATCCAATTTGCAGGCGCTAGTTTCGTTCAAGGTGACATACATTGATTGAGATTTAAGGAAGCCCAAGATTTTGCAAGGAGACTAAATGCTGACTGGCCCAGCCGGATGCAAGACTTAGCATCTTGGAGCAACCAAGAACACAGGCTGTGGACACCAATGACGACAAGTCCAACACATAATTATTGTTAGCCAAAGACACAAGAGCTTGTTGGATAATCTCATTTTTTCTTTTTTCTAGTTCAAATAACTTTTTCTTCTTCTTTGTTTCTATACAAAACATTAACAGCAAAAATCCATGCAAGGGTTAATTAAAGTTGTCCATGCAAGGAAATGTCCATTTAGTAAAATCTGGTTTTTGGATCTGGTTGGATTGTTCAAGTCCCTGTCATACATAAAAAAGACCACGGTTGTGAAAACATCCAATCATGATGTTCTTAGTCTAATAATCTAGCCTTGCCAATACCTCCCATAGCTCTTTGGCTTGGCGTGGATTTATCCAGATCCCTCACTCACCTCTGTCCCTCTAGAACGCATGTCAATGTCATGTTCCGTTGTGGCGTATCTCAGCCATGGAAAAGATTGATGGCTGGTTCCAACTCGACCCCATCAACCTCCACAGCAGAGCACAGTGACATGTTTGGAAAAGCCCGAAGTAGAGAAGGCCCTGGAGATTCAAGAAGAAGATGAGTACCCCTCTTATCTCAGCTCGCGATCTTGTTCATTGCCCATGGTCACCAACATTAGTCACAAACAAAACTTGCCTCTTGGTATTAAAATGGGAAAAAAATGGATCATTACTACTGTTTTAAGTTATTGCATTACATTGAGATTGTTATTATTTACAATTGATATTTGTAACTATAATTTAAGACACAATAGTTTTATAAATTTAAGATTTAAAGTCAAATTAGAAATTTTATTAAGTTGTTCAATTTATGACTAAATTTTAATAAAACAAAAAATATGTAGTCATTAATCAATTATAATAGTGATAAACCAGAAAATATATTGTTGTGAGTTGTTGTCATCCATGAGTTTGTTGCTACCAATTACTACTCCTAGCAATCACTACATGACTGATCTTTGCTCACATTCCTAGAGCTAAATTGCACTAGGGCTTTGCCATGCGATTTAGAGATGGAAATCTCTCAATTAGTAAGTTGCTGGAGGTATGGCAGCCATATAAACTTCACAAACATGTGAAGAATAAGGTAGCCCTGGAACCAGCCAATTCCTGTGAACCCTCCCTGCTATAAATTGGAGCCTCCTCTCTCACATCTCCACAAATCGACAATCACAACTGAGGTCCACTCTACAAATTTGGAGCTCTTCCATCTCTAATTCCAGTTCTAATCCCAGTTCTCCTAATAGATTCTAAAAAATCGAGAGAATCGATAGTCACCTGCTGTCGAAAGCTCTCCCCAATTGCTGATCGATTTTTGCGCCCTCGATCCAAATGGCAATGACGTTACCTCTATAGATCCATGATCCTCTGTTCTTCGAAGATGATGACCAATCCGTTGGTGAGGTCGCAATTCCCAATTTACCGAGGACGAGATCCTTGCCTGCATGGAATGCCTAGGCATGATCCACGCCTTCGTCATGCCCTTTGTGCTCAATGCCGCCACCAAGCTCCGGGTCTTCAACATCGTCACGCACGCCGCAATTCCTCCCACCACGGAGGAGATCACGGCCAAAATCTCCTCCTCGTCCTCATTCGCCGCTGATCAAACGATCAAACTCATCGATCAAACGCATCGCCGCTGTCGAGCACGACCTCACGGGAATCTCCACGTGGCTGGCGCCAGGTCGGACTACCTCGCCGCTCGCTATGGAAATGCATGCCAGGTTCAGGCGTCGTGGCAGAGGCTCCACGAGGTCGTGCTCGACGGCAGCGATGCGTTTGATTGATGCGTTTGATCGTTTGATCGGCGGCGAATGAGGACGAGGAGGAGATTTTGGCTGTGATCTCCTCCACGGTGGGAGGAATTGCGGCGTGCGCGACGATGTCGAAGACCCGGAGCTTGATGGCGGCGTTGAGCACAAAGGGCGTGACGAAGGCATGGATCATGCCCAGGCATTCCATGCGGCCAAGGATCTCGTCCTTGGTAAATTGGGAATTGCGAACCTCGCCAATGGATTGGTCATCATTGTCGAAGAACAGAGGATCGTGGATCGATAGAGGTGATGTCATTGCCATTTGGATCGAGGGCGCAAAAATCGATCAGCAATTGGGGAGAGCTTTCGACAGCAGGAGACTTGCACTTGCGATCAATTCTCTCGATTTTTTAGAATCTATTAGGAGAACTGGGATTAGAACTGGAATTGGAGATGGAAGAGCTCCAAATTTGTAGAGTGGACCTCAGTTGTGATCGTCGATTTGTGGAGATGTGAGAGAGGAGGCTCCAATTTATAGCAGGAAGGGTTCACAGGAATTGGCTGGTTCCAGGAATGGCACCCGGTATGTAAAACCTTCGCATTTGTTTTTTTCTTTCTCGGAGGTGGCAGGGTTGACCAGCGCCAGTCAAACTCTCACTGTTTGCCGGTCAAACGTGGTGGTATGGAACTTTTACACCAAGTTTTGTTTCACTTGGACACGAAATAATCGCAAGCATCGTATAAAGAGTGGAAATTAGAAAAGAGTTTTTGCGGAGACTGGGTCGCTGCAGCGATTGACACAAATTTGGGTTCGTCTTTGACGACTACACAATCGGCACGAATTCTGCATTGAAGACATGCGAGCGAAGATGGTTTGAATGGATGTTCGAGTGTACATTTTAGAAACTAGTGTCAAACGATTTAGACAGGCATTGATGACAAAGGTATTCTACACATGGACTCTAATCTTGTTTTCTCTTTTCTTGGATGCTCGATCACAATCACAGACACTTTATTCCAGGAGGATTTCTTTAGCATGAAAGTCAACTATCAAACTCGAGTTATGAGGCCTTTGCGTTCGAAGCTGTCAACGCAATCGTCAAACATTTGCTCCAGCGACTTGAATTGGATCCCAAGATCGTCCTGAAGCTTTGTGGAGTTGAATCCCTTGAAATATGGCGGGGACAAGACTTCGATCCTGCAAGCATGCAAAGGAAGGGGAAGTGCGAAAAAAATAGGAAAACTTTGTTGCGTGGTGTCACTCTTGGGGGGGGGCGGTTTGGTGCTCGGGATAGGTCTTGGACAGGAAGCTGGCGAGCTCGGTAGCTCATGTTGATCGCACAAACATATCTTCCAGTGCCTTTGGGATGCGTATAGGCAGGGAGGTGAGCTTGAGCAACGTCGTCGAGATGAACGTATCCAGCCTGATCGAAACAGTTTCCGTGGCTCCTACAATGTGTTTGGAATCTCAAAACTATTTTTGTTCTGCTTTCGAGATCACTCGCAGTCGGAGAATATCGGCAGCGCATGCGGTGGGGTGGCCTTGGACGAGAGAAGTTCTCCCACGACGCTGGGAGCGATTGTGATCACCTCTATGCCGTTTTCTTTCCCAAACTCGAGTGCTGCTTGCTCGGGTAGAGTCTTTCCCAGACCATACCACATTTGGACTTGAAAAACTTGTAAGAATTCGTTCTTTCTTGCTTGTGGAAATAAGAATCTTACCTCAATCTCACGGCAGCAGTCTGGGGAGCTCCACACCGATTCATCAAGTCGTTCCTCGCACTAACAGAAGCCACGGATGACGTGCACACCACTCGCTTGACTGTTGTGGATTGTTTCCAGGCATTGAGCACGTTCAGAGTTCCAAGTACGCATGGATCAACAATCTCGGTCTGGAAGAAGAACCAAAGACAAGAAAAAGCGAACCAGTAAAAGTTCGAGATACAAGACTAGACCATAGCTGGCAGAGAGCTGTTGAATCGAAGGAGTCAAGCAAAGTTACCTCCTTGTAGCTGAAAGTCACGGCCCGCGAGATGGAAAACTTGGACAATATCGTCAAAGGCGCCTAATTCCGTGACAAGGTCGGCCTTCTTTCTCTCCCCCGGAAGCTCGCACAAACAACAAAAGCAATTTCTAAGTAGAATCGATTAGCCTAAGTACCCTGACAACGTGATGTCCCTCCTTCAGTAGCCGCTTCACGAAGGAAACCAGATGCCCAAACCTTCTTCTCGTTCGCCATCGCCATGGAATGACCCTAAAGTTGAACACGGTTCTCTCTCACAAGAATTATCAGTAACCGGGAAACAGTGCTTTTTAACTATTCAATGCTGGACAATGCAATGGAACTTTCATTCCCTTCGCTTGAGCGATGATGTCTATTAACCTGTAAAGCTAAAACATAAATCTGGGATGATTCATCTACCTGGTAACTAATAACAGATGCGGAATAACTATCACATTGTCGGGCTGGACCACCTTTCTGTCCTTTGCAGGCCAACACACATTACAAAAGCGCAAAGAGTAAACTCCTCACTAAACTGAATGAAAGATTACCTGCCACTGTGTCAAGTGCCTTAATCAACATGGCAAAGGTCTTGTCCGTTATAGTAATCAACGGAGCAAAATCAGTATATGCTCTACCACAGCAAGAGTTTGGATTTAAACCCGAGACTTCAAAGAAGAAGAGCCTTTGCCTCAAACCAACTAAGTTGGCTAAGTAACGGGTCAGCACCAAAGTCAGAGATCAAACAAGGCTAATGCCAACGGTCTGTTGGCAACTTACCCATGAAAATCCAATACCCAACCCAAGCCAAATAATGCTAATGATTTTAGTAGTACTTGTAAAAGTTGCTTGAGATAGATAAATATAGAGTCCATAGCTCCGAAGAGCCATGCAGTCGTTCCTCTAAGACCTGTATGAATCTGCAGAAATTGGCCTTTGATGGATCGCCCAGAAAGTTGTGCACGTGGAGGGCATCCAGCAAAAACTTCAAATAAAAGTTGGAGCATTGTTTTTTCTTGCAGGAACAATTGAGACAGAGAGAGATATTATACTCGTCCAGAGTTATTAGATTATAATTTAAGACACAATAGTTTTATAAATTTAAGATTTAAAGTCAAATTAGAAATTTTATTAAGTTGACATTTGTAGTTGCAATTTATGACTAAATTTTAAGTCATTTATAATAGTTAAAAAACAAAAAAAATGTAGTCATTGGCCATCTCCGCCAGCTCCTCCAGGATCTCTGGAGTTCGAGCATTTGTCGTGTCCCCCGTGAAGAACTCGTGGACTCTTCGCTTCACCGCAATGGAGCTGAAAGCCGGCTCCTTCCTTATGTTCTTCTTGTACATGAGCCTCCCGATCTTGCCCCCCTCGTCCTTCTTCCTGACTTCGTTGTAGAGATTCGACAGCACCATGTACGCCACAGAGCCATCCGATGTGAGCTCCATCAAGTGCTCGGCAGACTTTCTCGCTTGCTCCATGTCCTTGTGAACTTTGGACGCTCCCAGCATTGTGGAGTGGATCACCCGGTCGGGCTTGAGAGGTGCCACGGCTATAAACTTCTCGGCAGTGTCGAGCTTGGCTATGAGGTCCACCATGCAGTAGTAGTGCTCGGCTCACAGGGAGATCGTTGGGTAGTTGTGGAGGAGTGACACGAAGAGCTGGACGCCATCTTTGACGAGACCACCGTGGCTGCAAGCTGAGAAGAGCCATTATTAACAACAAGTTGCTTTGAGTAAGCATATGCTAGGTGGCAGCCTTCTTTGCATCATTCATTGTGAAAGACCAAATTCCAGTTAATTTTGATGGCTAAAGTTTGCTAGGACTTGGTCAGGGAACTTAAGTAAGACCTCCTAACACTGACGCCTCCCGTTAAACACCATCCTGATTCACTCTCTCTCTCTCTGCTTACCTGGCAATGACGTGGCACAGCCCTCCTTTTTGTTTTATCTCCAGCGCACTCCCTCTCCCGTCCGTCGCCGCTGCGCACTCCCGCCCTCGGCTATCGCCCGCCTGCGGCTCCCGCCCGCACTCCCACGTCCGCCCGCGCCCAGCGTGCGCCCTAAAATTACTTCCACGTGGCCACAGCCCCAACACTTAGCCAAATTTCAATCAGCCCGCCCTAGTCCACCCATTCACGCCGGATGGTTGCCCCATAATTGACCTAAAAACGTTTCTGTTTCTTTTATGATCAAGCATGGCAGCAGCACATCAATTTCCAGAGGTAAGCAATCAATTCAATTTCATATTGATTCAAGAAAATCATTTAGGATGCCCCATGGCTTGATGAGGTGCAAGAATTCCATGAAAAGGATTATTTTTGTGTAGATGATTTAGATTGGAATTTGTCTAAATCAAATGAAACTATAGCTCCTATTGTGTATATATTACAGAAGGATGTGAACAAATTTCTAGATGGTGAGAGGAGAAGGGGTGATGGAGTGGATTTTTGGCGATTTTCTAACAAAAATCGTGATTCTGGAGATTTGAAATGACCCAAAAACACAAGCTTTTTATCATTAATCAGGTATATCTTTTTAACAAAATATAATTACTAACTTCTTGATACAAGTATTGGTGTGAATATGGAAAACAAGATGCTAGTGAAACATCCTCTATTACACCAAAGTTAGGACTTGGAAGTAGACTGGGTCGAAGTTCTAATAAGCAGGGTTGCCTTTGCAATTTTTTGGTCAAACAGTTTTACAAATGGCCTGATTATGTTTAGATTACATATTATCATAGAGAGCATTGTGATAAGAATGGGATTCCTTGTCATGGTCAACTTGATCTGACTGGAGGAAAGTCATTATTTCCTCAGAAGCTTTCAGCAGATATTCGACATTGGGTGATTCATATGATTCAGCAGGATTTCACATCAAATCAGATTTATAATGAGCATATACAGATTGTGGGAAGGAACAAGTCAGCTGGTGAACCTCTTCATCGAGATGATTTTCTAACTATGCAGGATATCAACAATCTGCATAGAAAGTATTTGCTTTCAACTTATCGATTACATGAGAATGACGCATAGAGTGTACGTATTTGGAAGAACACAAATCCTGAGAAAGTATTTTTCTATTAGGAAGGTGATTGAGGTAAAGATTGTTTTACTATTGGGATCCAGACAACTTAGCAACTACAAAAGATGGTGAACTTTTCAAATAATAATTTATTGAGTCTTGACACAACTTTTGGAACTAATTGCTACAAGGTAAAATTTTCATTCAGTTTTAAGTGATTAATACTTAATAATTTACAGTTCCCATTATACACCATGCTTGCTTTTGATTATCATGGAAATGGTATTCCAATTGCATGGGTTTTAACTTCTAGTGAGAAAGGAGAACATGTGAAGAATTGGATGATAGGTTTTAAAAAGCGAGTTTTAGAACACATGCCAAATTGGAAACCACGGGCGATAATGATTGATGATGTTGAAGTAGAGATTAATGCTATAAGGTAATTAATTTGATTTGAAATAATTTAATTGTTTTCTTCTATATAGAGCTACATTTGATTGTTAAATTCTATTATGTATTTGGCATGTAAGGAGGAATTGTCTCAAACATATTATTTGTAAGGTGAAATCTTGGGATATTAGGATGGAAATATGGAAATGCCTCGGAGATATTATGTATCATTCAATTCATGTAGCTTTTCATGATGATAATATTATGCGAGTTGAGATTAAACAACTTATTGAACATTTTGAGGTGGATTTTCAAAATGAAGTAGCCTTTATCAAGTATTTTCAAGACGAATGGAAGGACAAAGTTGGTAAGTGAATCAATAATTTAATTTTTATAATTTATTTTAATTTATATTTGATAGATATATGGGTTGTTGCTGCTCGAAATTTCCCTCATGCTAACAAGGAGACAAATAGTTCGATTGAGGCATTCCATGCAAATATGAAAGCTATATTCTTGTCCGAAAAAAAACATGCTCGCAATCGAAGGATGGATTGGGCAATTCATCAACTTACTACTAAGGTTCATGCGAGGTACTGGTTTACTAGTTATTGCAAAGATCATGGTTTTATCTGAAACCATGCATATGAAAAACTAATCGATGGTGCAATTGTTAAAGCAATAAATATTAATGACTCTCAAGTAAAATTCGATAAGGACAATACTCACAAATCCTATGTACAATTCTCTTCAGATCCAGCTATATGGTATCTTGTTGTCGGAGGTGAAAGACACAGTGATTGGGTTTTTTCGACTTGGTGTAATTGTCCGTGGGCAACCAAAAGAAACTTTTGCAAACATCAAGCAAAAGTTATTATGTTAAAACAAGGAGAAAAAACTGATTGGACTACAACTAGTTATGAGGTTCAACCATCACAATCGCATGCAATCTTAGAACTTGGGCCAGATGATTTATTTTATCGTCATCAAGATTTTGAAGCACTTGACTTGGAAGCTATGACAGAGGTAATTCACTTATAAATTAAAATTTTGAAATACTTATAAAAATTTGAGCAGGAAAACATCCATCAAGATGTTTATCATGAGCAAGAAATTCAGTTGGAGACTACATTAGAGGTAAACTAACATATTTTATATACTAATATATATGAATATTGAGCAGGAAGATATCCATCAAAATATACAGCATCAACAAGAAATTCAGCTAAGGACTACTATAGAGGTAATTTACACTAAGTAAATTTTAAATATTGATATGAACTTTAAGCAGGAAGATATCACTCCATCAAAAGTTACAAAAGCGACATTACAACAAAAGATGATGGATATCTTACAAGATCTTCCTGATGAAGAAGCTTTTTTATTTATGGTTGACAACGATTTAGAAATGATATAGCAAAAGGTTGCAACTTTTAAAGCCAGGCCAGACGATCTTATTCATCCTGCAGCAGAATTTCAACAGCGTGTTGATAGTTATGGTACATCCTTGAAGCGAGCAAAACCTTTGGTGGAAAAAATTACAAGTAAAAGAAAAGCTTCTAATAGTCTAGAAGCAACTCCTTTTATTAGGCAGAGGAAGACAAGAAAGAAAAGCTCTTTAAACGAAAAACTCAATCTTAGCAAAGAATAAATAAAAAACAAACTCTTTATATACTTACATTGCATATATTTAAATTAGTGAGAAGATTTCATAAGTTTACCACTCCTAATGGTCATCCATGACACTCATTGGCCACGTAAAGCATGTAGGAAGGCGTCCACGCGGGCGCTGATTGAAATTTGGCTAAGTGTTGGGGCTGTGGCCACGTGCAAGTAATTTTAGGGC